CCTTAGGCTTGTCGTTTACTTCTGGTTGCGGGCTGGGCGCTGGCGCTGGTGTGGGTGTAGGTGTGGGTGCGGGTGCGGACGCCTGCCCCAACTGTTGCAGTGGGTGAATTGGGAGCAGGGGTTGGCGGAGCGGAGTGACGGGCGAGGTGATGGCCGGGCCCGGGGCCGGGCCCGGGGTCGGGGTCGGGGCCGGAGGCTTCACGTCGGCCACCGTGGGCTTGATGTCAGGCAGCAAGAGCGTGGATTTGATATCGGGAAGTGGGAGCGTGGGTTTCAGGTCAGCCAGAGGGAGCGTAGATTTGAGTTCGGGCAACGGGAGAGTAGGCTTCATGTCCGCCAGCGGGACCGTAGGGTCCGTAGCGAGCGTGAGCACGGTCTTGATGCCGGGCAGCGCGGGTAGACCCTTGTCTTTGATAGGCGTGAACCACAGTTTGGAGTCACCGTCCAGCCCCTTGAAAGGTGTGTCGGGTGCCACGTCCTCCTGCGAGCACAGGGCGTCCACCTTCTTGATGACGGAGTCGATGTTGACGTCCTTGGCGGACCAGAAGCCCGAGTCGGCCTTGCCGCCCGGCGTGTCCCCGTCGCCGTCCTCCTTGGACGAGAGGAAGTCGTCGTCGTCGTCATCGTCGTCCTGCGTCTTCAAATCGGCCTTGGTGACGGCGGCGGGCGCGGGCGCGGGTCCCGCGTCCTTGAAGTGCGTGCCGCTGTGCAGCACGTCGTTCTCCTTGATGACGGACACGTCGCGCTCCCGCGCGTCCTGTGGGGCAGCGCCAATGTCACTCATTTGCACTTCCCTTCCCCTACTCGCCACCCATGCACATGCAAGGTTCAAATTCACTTTTCAAATTCGCAAACTCGCTTTATTTTCCTGGATGCTCCCCGTAGTGACGTCTATTTTTTTTTTTTAATTCAGCGAAAACAAACGATTCCGAATTTCGTAAACTGTTTATCCAATAGCAACTATTTCGTACATCTAGATGTACATCATCAAATAACATTTTATTTGATAATTTTAAAGCCATTTGTATTATTCTGAGAAAAACAAACATGTGATGAAGAAAGTAAAAAGAGGGGAAAAAAGAAGTATTGTTTAGCAAATTGAGTTTGAATCAGATGCCATTCCACCTCATAAACCCTTCATATACCAACACGTTCTTTTGGCTTTTGTGGCTTCCATTTAAATGTATTTATCCGCAATGCAAACTGGAGCATTTTTTCCACAACAGTATCAGCATCAACTATTCGACAGTAATTGACAGCATTTACTATATTCAATACGAAGATGCCAGAAGAAAATCGTAGCTAATACTGAGTGCTGCTGCCTTAAATTTTAAAGATACTTCCTGGCGCCCAAAAAATTTGGAAAATACTCTTAAGACTCCAAACTAATTAGTATTAGATTAGAAAGAGTATGCTATCGGGTCAATTTTCTATACACGTTTCCTGAAATGGATTCTTGAAATTACAGAAAACCAATGATACAATTATTTTAATGTCACTTAGTTTTCGTAATACAATTTTAATTTTAATTTTAGCTACTTCGGTTGCTACCTAAAACTCACCAACTTTTCCCTGCCTTCTTCCAGTACTATTATATTATCTCATACTTCCATTCTCATTCTCCACCTGTGAAACATTTCTAATCTAATCAATGACCACTGGACATCCACCAAACAAGCATGGAAAGAAGATCCTATGAGAAGTGAAATGAATATTTACTTGAAAATAGCAAATTATATTTAGGCAATGTTGTTGAAAATAAGACACGCCATTCAACGGTCAAAAAGGGTCTCAGCTTTCAGATTCTACAGAGGAAACATGAAACAGTTTATCTGCCAATTCACTAACAATCAGAAGACACTAATAATTCTAACTAGGGGCGAATTGACCTAAAACATTGTCAAAAACAATCAATAAAATACTCCAAAAATGTCCTAAAAATAAAGATTTTTTTTTTTTAAAAACACTGATCAAACCACTTTAACAACAAATGAACGGATGTTACTGATGTAGGCTTCTTCCTTTTGTTGAAGTGAATTCAGCTTGCAAACTTCAGGTTTGGACTGTTCTTTAAAAGGAAATCTCTGCTTTTATTTATTGTGAATTCAGCTGAACTGACAATGGCACAAACTTCACAGGAACCTTAGATAATATAGAACTCACATTGGCTGACATTACATTTCATGTATGAGCAAAGAAATCGAATAAGCCTGCTCAGGAATTTGGTGAAGAACATTTGCTGCACCTGGTAAAGTATTATTTGAAGCATATACCATTTAATTTATATTAAAAATGATGAAATCAGCAAGAAAATCTGTAAAATTGACATAAAAAGATACTAAAAAACTTATTAGTCGAAATAAAAGAAAAATGCAAGAAAATTACTTTTAAAAATAAGTCATTTCGTTTTCTCTTAACATAAAATGAATTTCTATACTAAACGGCATTGTTCTTAAGTGAAAAGAAAACAATTACATTTCATTAAAATCCGTCCCTAATCATAACAAACTTCACACAACGTGAATTATGAATTCAATCGCTTCCGAATTTTTATCTTTTTGTCAAGAGTTGAACATGGGCTGATTCTGAATTGGGTAATACACTTAAGTTCTGTGATCTGCAGCACAATAGGGCTTCAGTGTATCTTGTCATAAATAAACACATCAGTTTGGTAATATTGCTCCTGTAAACTATGAATATGATAGGAAACGGAACATTTTATTTTTAGCAATGAACATCAATTTTCACGTAGTTAGATTTTGTTTCAAAACCTTTCCTGGCTTTTATTAAAATTCATTGGCTTCCACAGAAAGTTTCTGTTTTCTGGTTTCCTGAATTTGCAACTTTCATCATCTTGACATCCAATATTTAAACCTCTCACCAGAATTACACCTGAGAACCTCTACCATCAGAGTTATCATAAATTTTTAAATGATGGAATGACATAAAGGAGAATCAATATGGAAATGACACAAGTAAAAATGGTACTCCTGAAATACATAAATTGTATTACCAAAAGCTTAGAACTAAATTGCCATGAAAGCTAATAGGTTTGATGGGTGATTGTGCATCAAAAAGAACATTAAAATATATTTGCCAAATACTAGTAAGTTAATGAACTAATGTGTTTTGTTGATGTTATAATGTAAAGAAAAATTCTTTCAAAGATATTATAAATAGTAGAACACATGGCACAAAAGCCCTACCGAACATGTTCTTTGTTCTTTGTTCTTTTGTAACACACTTAATATGTAAGTTGAGTGTAAAAGTTGGAGAAGTACATTACGAAGATAAGTATTGTTTATTCACAACTGGTTCCATAAACACCTTTTTTTCAATAGTCACCATATTTTGAATTTTGCATATCCTCTAGAAGAACCTGAGAATTTCTTGAAAACTGAAAATGATAAAGGAAACATAACCACACAATTGATAAATTAGAAGTATGACTCTGCCCTTATGATTGCTTTAATATCATGGCACTTGTTTTACACAATGGTGAATTCCATTTATGCCATTATGAATTTCCAGTTGTGAATAAATATAAGAATTAATAATCAGAAGAAAAGTTGAACCGTTTACACATATAATTTTAAATTCAATTGTTCCAATCATACAGCAAATGAAGAAAATTGTGAAGTGTAAAGTGAAGTCTATGCAAAATTTTCATGCAATTTCATTATTTCAAACATAATTTTCAACATTAACTCCCCCAGAAATTAAAGGCCATCAGCAAAAGACACAGGAATGAATTCTATGTACCTTAAACTGGGGTAACTTTAGATAGTCGGGGTGACTAGAACAATACATTTCAAATTTAATATTTTATTAAAGAGAGAAATTTTGATGCTATTGATATCTTTCGAGTACATGGTTACAGCTCATTGATGACAATCTGCTGCTGTTGGCGAGATCTTTGGTACAAGCAGTAGTCTTCTTGTATCTGATTTTGTAGACAATTGTGTGGGTGTGTGTTTTTTTAATTTTTTTTATTTTATTTAGCATTTGTATTGCCATTGCGAAAATTTCTTTTGTGATGACTACCAGGATACTCCCATACATAAATTGAACCTATTTAACAAAGAGAAATGTTGCATTAATTTCATTCATATGCATGTGCCAAGTTACTTGTTACAAATAAAAATGTAAAATAAATGAGTTTGAAAAAGCGTTTAGCTGTTATTTTTGGTGTGAGTTGACAGGTTGAGATAAACTGTACTACTTTTTGAATGATTGAATGCCACCCAAATGAGTGGCATTTACAGGTAACGACACATTGAAGCAGAAATCATTTATGCATTTTACAAGCCAAAAAATCAAAGTTCCAAAGTTACCCTACTTGATGGGGGGTGACATGAATACAAACAAAAAAATTAATAAACCTCAAAATTTCAAGGAAATAATTAAAATAAAATATAAAGTAAAAGAGTAGAATAGTTATGTGATCAGTTTTGCAAAACTATACATAAATATTGTTATCTATTTGAGAGCCGCAAGAAAAATTTCAAACTCTTGTTCGAAAGTAACCCCAGTTCACCGTATAGTGTAAATAGGAAATTCTTTTATTTTTTCTTTCCTTCACCTCCATTATATTCATTGTTGGTTGGCTGTGCAAAATTAAACTAGATTATAATTATACACTGATAGAAATGCATTACCTATTATTATGTACACTGATAGCCAACTATCCAGAAGATGTGGTAAGATGTAAGAGAGATCCTCAGCTACAAATATCTCGAAACAGATTAAAATTGGTTGAGCCTTCTAAAAAGTTGGCTGTGAAACAGTGACTTTCATGAAAGTATGGCTATTATAAAACCAGTCAGTGATTGTGCATGTGGCATAAAATGAGGTCAGGATGGATCCCAGGCATATTTAGATTTATTCAGTCAAAAAACAGTAAAAACTGTATGTGACGTAGGAGGGAGAAGATTATCTGCGTATGATTTCTTGATTTCCACAATCCCTTCCTGTCATTTTAACTATAAATAGTTGAAAGATGAGTAAAAGTTTGACATAAAAAAATAAAAATAAATTTTAAAAATTGCAGGATTAGCAATATATTGGGAACAATGGATTCTAGTTGTTATGTGCAAGGAGTCCTTACTTTTATTTTTCCACATTAATGTTGGAAAATTACATTATGGCTGACCTGCTATGCAGTAAATTGTAAACTATGTGAATTTTAATGAAAAGTGAGTGTGAATAAAAATATTGAATGTATATCTGGCACACATTGTCTTTTTGAGATTGGAATATTATCAACTTGGCTCAGCTCTGCTTTGCCAAAGAGTTATTAAAAATGGACCTTTTGAGGTTCTTGATATATAAATTAATGAACAAATGTTAGCCAAAGAAGGAACCTAAACAACAGTTTCAAAAAGCAAGTTATTTGAGAGAAGTATCTCTTCATCACAACAGCTATCCATTCATGCCCCTTTGTAGAATGTTAATGTTCTTTGATAACTCCTGTAAGGACATCACTGATGGTGATGAATGACATGGTCAACACATGCATATCACGACTGCATTCAAGACCCTTTAAAATAAACATACTTGCAATCAAAATAATGTGTAATACAATGTTTTGAAAGAAGTATTTTTTAAAACACACACTGCCCAGCACATTAAATTTCAATTATTTCTCATGGCACATTGTGTTTCATTGAATAATGTGATTGCATGAGGAAGTGTCAAAGCCATTACACAAAATAATTAACCGCAAACGAATGATTGAAGGTAGGAGCGCCAACTGACATTCTTGTCAAGTGCACGGTCAGAACCTTCAGGTAAATGTGTTTTGTATGTTTATGTGAATAAGGTGTTAGTTAATTTGAATAAGAATAAGTTGTGGGCCCCATTCATTTGAAAATCGGTATTTGCACACATATGTAAGAATAAAGGAATAGCCACTTCGGTCTCTTCTTAACGCGGCTCTACTCATTCGGCATTCACCGAGCTGCGAGCTAGTGTTCGCCCAATCCCGAACAACTGATGTGTTCGGCTAATGTTCGGTCCCTTTGATGTGTCCTAAAGACCGGCATGCGGTGGGTAGGGAGAATACCGAATGTTCGGCGCTCGGTGACTCGCAAGCAAACCGTCCACACTACTCTGGATTCCAGAATGTGGCATGTGTGGGGGCCGCCTTTAGGCCAACTCGTGTGCACTAGGAGATGCTTCCGTGAGCGACGTGGAATCGCCTGGCGGGCGAGAGCTCTCACCTTGAAGAGGGCGATGGGGAGTGTGGGCGCAGGGGTGGGTTCCGGCGGCGGGGGCTTGGCCGCGTCGAGGGCGATGGCGGTCGCGGTCGCGGGCGCGGGAGGGACGGCGGCGGCGGCGGCCGTGCTGACGAACAGCGAGGGCCGGGCCACCTCCTCGTTGAGCGCGCTGGTCATGGTGTCCGACGCCAGCAGGCTGCTCACGAAGTCCGTCTTCATGTCGGGCTCCGTCTCCGAGAAGTCCCCATCCGCCTCCACCTCCGCCGCCTTCCTCACCTTCGCACCTGCTGGCTCCTCCTTCTCCGCCGCCACTGCCGTCAGCTCCGCTTCCTCCTGCGCCACACAATATTGCACACAATTGCTTCGACCCCGTCAACAAGCTCAAAATCACACTACTACTTATGGATTCTCATCGTTAGAGACAGAATTTTTATGAAATTACATATACTTTGCCTTTCTATAATAAGTACTCAAAATTATCTTGGCGAATCATAACACGATAACTCAATCTTTCGTTACATATTTTATACTACGTTACATATTTTGCTTATATTTTATATACTGGGCGAAATTGTATATTATTCAACATCCTTTTTTAAAATTTATTTCACAAACAATACTAAATGAATTTTCAAAATTAGGTTTTATTTTAAAAAATGGTATTTTTCCTAACATAAATTTGTAATTGCGAGCTGATGACGCGAGTAGCGTTGTCACGCGAAGGCGCAGTCAGATGCACGCTGTTTGGATTAACCTTCGTCTGCGTCAAATGGCGGCGGCGTTGAGAATATTAATTTTTGGTACGGAATGAGTCAGTGTTTCTTCATCTGTAATCCCAGTCCCTGCGAAATATCGATTGTCGCTGCATGTACCACTAGTTTTTGTTTGCCTTTCATTGAATTCTCACGTTAATACGGTTGCCACAACTCTCAAAAATAAAAATTTGCTCTTAAAAATATTTAACCAGGAGGCCAGCCATTATTATTTTTTCAATATAATAATAATAATAATAATAATAATAATAATAATTACAATAATTTTCTAAATTTACTTTGTATCTTTGTAAATATTTTCTAAATCTGATATTACACATCCTATCTCTTTCTGCTTAATTATTACGTATTAAATAAATTAATTACGTTTCATTACGTGTTAATGAACATGTTTTGTCGTTTCATTCTACATATTTTGCTGGACTCTAATCATGCTTTACATTTGTGAATAATCGGTTTCGTTGAATTCCTTCGGGTCACTGAAGAATGCGAATGACACAAAATCACAAACCGTAATAAGACAAGACAAGGTGTCTGATTTTTCACGCTCTCCCAATGATTTATTTTCTAAAAGGACCGTTTATTCACGTGAGAATATTAGCGTAATGAGTAGATGGAAACATCATTATTTATTGTTTGGTAAGTGTTATTTTGCCGTATGCATACATACGGAGGATATGTATCAGTATGGATACATACAAAGAAGTTACGGCCACATAAAACGACTGAGGGTTGCGGTGCGGACGATATGAATCAACATGGCTGCCACCTCCCTTATTGAGAATTTTCAAAATAGTATCTACGCGTAAGTTTCAAGAGTTCGTACTAGTAAAAATTATGTAATTCGTACAAAATTATCTTTGACATACTCATTGCCGGCCAGGGCTCCCGTCAACTGCCAATCAACATGTCACTCGTACGCCAAAGACGTTCGGTCTTTAGGAACATTTTATTTCCATACTAGATCGTATTTTGTCGTTTCACGCCTGGAAAACAGTGGAAAGAGTTACTTTACTGCTCTGAAATAAGACGGACAGTGGAGGCCGGCGGTGAGGACAAGCAGTGTCATAAAATGCAATTCACATTCAATCATATGCAACGATAATGAAATCCTTGAATCAAGAACACCAAATGTGATCTGGTATGGAATAAAACGTATTACGAAGCACGGGTGAAAGCGTTCTTGACTCGTTCGAATCTGCAGCTTTGGCAGGAGCCATGTCACTCGTAAGGTCTCTCTTTCCGCCTTCGTAGCGTCAACCGTGTGAGGCGATCCAAGATCGCTGTGTGGGCGAGAGCGTGCGTACCTTCTTGGCGTGCGGGAGCGCCGGCGCCGCGTGCAGGTCGAAGGAGTCGAAGGCGCAGATGGGCGCACCAGTGGCCTGGGTGAGCGCGGCGGGCGGCGCGGGCGGGTCGAGGGCCGGGGCGGGCGGCGCC